TTACACAGGCAGATTATAAACTAATAAAACATACTTATTTTACACAATACTATCTTATGACTTCAAATAACTTTTTTTCGTTTCAGTCTCAATGGAAAATTAACGCTATTCATTGGAACTGCAGCAACACGTGTAAGAATCAATGTAGGCTAATGAATAAAAGAAAAAAAAAATCAATGTAATGAAATGGTTGTTCAGTTTGGAACTGTATACTAATGATAGTCTTACTATTGTTCCTTTAAAATATATGGTAAAAATAGTAGGCCTAGTAGTAGCATGCTAGTATGTGGTTCCGAATTCAACCTTGATCATGTCCATGTGTTTTGGAAAAAAATTAATAGGCTTTTAGCACCTCCCAGTGGACGTTTCAATGCAGATCTATTGCAATACCCAAGTAATGAAAATTTTTTCCCTAATCCGCCAAGGTCATGTTGTTGTTACCTTCCTCTCTCCGCTCTCCTCCTCCACAGCAACAGTGTTGTGATTCTTGTGGTCTTTCATTGCGCAAAGCAAACACACACACGTCTGATCATCTCTACAGAACAGCTCCAGAGGTTTTTCATGTTTCTGACAGATATAGTCCTCAAGAATCGCCCCGGGATCGATCAGTTTGTGTTTCTTTAAATGTGCGACTCTGTGATGAGGCTCCAGGTGAGTTTCACAGTAAGAGCTCTGACACACCAGGCACATCTTCAGCGCTTTCATCTTTATATCATCACAGACGTCACAGAGAACCTCAGATTTACTCAGACCAGACTTTTCCTTAAAGTGCTGCACAACCTGTCTGAGTGCTGTGTTGATCTTGAGGTCGGGTCTTTTACTGAATGTTTCTTTACACAATGGACAGTTGTAGATCTGACTGTTGTTCCAGCACTGGTTCAGGCAGCTCTTACAGAAGTTGTGTCCACATGGAGTGCTGACTGGATCAGTGAACACATCCAGACAGATCGAACACTGGAGCTCATTTGACAGAGCTGAAGAGGATGATGAAGAAACACAATTTATCATCTAAATTGATCATTGATTTATAAATACAAAGCAAATGATTATATCAAGAAACAAAACTCATCAACAATTAGGATCTCATGAAAGAAAAATAAATTCTAACTCATTGTCATTTGATATGATTTTATGACACTTTTCATATTATCATCCTTTCTTTCATTCTTTCTTTAGGTTACTGACATAATGGAGGTGCATCCAGACTCCTCCTTCTCGTCTCGGTTGGTTTTTGTGCTGCTGATGAAAATTCTGCCATCACTCAGAATTTCACTCTTTTTGCTCTATTCACAGTAA